TGAATAACAGTTGATAATTGTAGAAATTTAGAGTTTTAGTAATTTTGTAATTAACATATGCAGATCAAACGCAGTTTTATATTTAAATATTTTATATATATTATTGGTACCCTTTTGTATTGTTTGTAATTGGGCTGGTGATATACCGAATAAACTGAATACTGAGGTGGAGCTCACTGCCTCCTTAGGCAGCTGATTCCACTGTTCCACAATTTTTTCCCTAATATCCAGCTGGTACCTTCCCACCCTTAATTTAAACCCATGATTGTGAGTGCTGTCCTCTGCTGCCAACAGGAACAGCTCCCTGCCCTCCTCCCTGCCCTCCTCTAAGTGACAGCCCTTCAAGAGAGAAATCATGTCCCCCCTCAACTTCCTCTTCTCCAGACTAAACATTCCCAAGTACCTCAGCCTTTCTTCATAGGGCTTGTTCTCCAGGCCCTCGATTATCCTCATTGCTCTCCTTTGCACCCGTTCCAGTGTACAGCGGGACAATGACATCTTGCAATTTGGATGCTATGCCTCTGTTGATACACCCAAAGATTGCATTAGCCTTTTTTGTCACTGCATCACACTGACTACTCATATTTAACTTTTGGTCCACTCATACCCCAAGATCTTGTTCACACACACTGCTACCAAGAAGCGTATCCCCCGTCCAGTATGCATTAATCATGACTGAGCTTCTTCCTTGAACTGAGATGCCATTTTGTGACAGTGCCAAATGAAACTGAGGGTTGCATCAGCCATCACATCTCATGCTCACATTTTTAAAATGCATATTGCAAAGCAGCTACAGAGTTCAAGGTAGTTTGACCTCAAATTAACTCCTGTTGTGCTAAAGACAAGTTGAAACCAATGGAATGAGGTTTTCCTGACCAACTTCTGTTGTTTTTTTGTAGATTAATCCACTGAATGTTTATTTGGAAGAAAGTCCAACAGTATATAATGGTTCTTACTCTCACTTGGTGTGCTTGGATTATTTCAGCCTTAATTTTATTAAGATGGGACCATAAACTCTAGTTTTGGTAGATTTGGAGAGTATGCCATGTTTATGAGATTTTTTTTAAATTTTTTATTTGTTTTGTCATATAACAAGTAGAATGTGAATCCAATACATTGAAGAAATAATTAATCCTTTACAGGTTTAAGTAACATCAAGAGTCCGAACAATTCACAACTATTTTTAAACAAATTGATAAATTAAAATTAACATAGAACTTTTCGAGGTATCAGAAAACCCACTAATTTCATTTATTTATGAACCATTATACAGGTACCAGTCATGTATGATATGAGATTTATTATACCATGGAGTCCACTCTTCAAAGCAGCCATTTTCACTCTAGAGATCAGTGGTAATTCCAGGGTATCTCCAGGCCCACCAGGAGGCTGGCAACCATAGTTTCAATCTTTATATTTAGCATAATTGAATTACTGGCTGATGTGAATACTTCCATTCTATGTAATCTTATCAGTATTATGCATCATATGAACATAGACAATGTGCATTTCATTATTGCATGTTCTAACTTTACAGCTGCCTTCAGAATATAACCCTTTCTGTTACTAAAAATCTCCTAGATAAGAAAAATTTGGTAATTACTGTTTGGCTAGGCTTAATCTCTGCTGAGGTAGCACTCCTGTATTTCTTCTCTGAACTACACAATGATCAGTATTGTCTTCCATAGCTATTTTCAGTTATCAGTTCTTCAAGGCTGCAATAACTGAAGTGAAAAAATGCAGAGTGTTTTTATGCTGAGGTGGGGGAAGGAACAAGATACTTAAATATTAGGTCAAAGAATTTCACCTGTATCTGTTTTTTTAAGTCGTATGACCTCCTGCAATATTCACATTTACTACGGGCCCCAATCCACCTAAGGCTTGCAGGCAGCCACATTAATTCAAGCAACATCCCAATACAAAAATGATGTAGTAGTTTTTATTAGGAGCAACCAAAATAGCACACAGTGTACAAGCCTTTGTGTTCTCCAGAGGTCTTCAGCAGGCTGGATTATTTTTTTTTGCAGCTGCATTAAACTACTTCTCCAGAAGTAATGATGGATCAAGTATAATCCCTAGGGTTTTAACTGAGACAGCAAGGGTCAGCTGAACTCCATCAAAAGTGGGAAATACAATGTCCTTCAAGTCTTCTGCTAGCATTACTTCTGTCCTGTAGGGTGAAATGCAATGTGCATAGGCTAGGGTTGCCAACCCCCAATGGGAGTGGTGGTACCCCTGATTTTGCCCCCCCCATCTGCTCCCGGTCAACTGGCTGGCAGTGGGAGCCCCACCCCTGAAGAGCCCCTCCATGCCTGACGTGCCTAGCATGATAAGGTCACCCAGAGATGATGTCATCACACTGGACATGTCGTGTGGGTGGACGTTCTAGCATTTGGCTACAAACTCTACAGTGACAGAGTTTTTAGCCAAATGCTAGAGCACCCCCTGTACAATGTGCCTGCATGATGATGTCACTTCTGAGTGATGTCATTGCCGGCAGGGAAACCCCAGGACCAAGTCAGGAGCCCCCTACCAGCAGATGGGTAAGACCTGGCAACACTAGAATAGGCTCAGATTTGCGGCTAATTTTGCAAAGGAGGTTCAGAAATTGACCATATCATCTGTGGACTGAATTTGATACTTTGGCCCAAGTAGATTATGAGAGGTGTTGAAGGCAGAGCAGGCATGCCAGTGAATCAGAAGGGAAGGTGTATTGAGAAACAGGAATAAATTTTCTTCCTGAGTCATTCCAACAGTGACGCTGGTGTTATCTGATTTCAAAGCAAAATAGGCAGTCTAGAGGTATTAAAAGTAATGGGAATGTTACAATTGGTTTTAGATGAAGCATTAGTTACTTGAATAAATTTGAAGTATATTATAATTATCCTTCAGGCATCTTTGAGGTTGGTGAGTCAGTCTATCTGATTTATATATATATATAAAAAGCCCAATGTATTGGCACTTTCCAGCTCTCCCATTGGCTGTGCTGTGCACTCCATCAGCCATTGGCCCATCAACTGCCACTCAAGAGTACTCGCGTGCCATTAGCTGGGTGCTGGGTCTGCCCTTCTTCCCCGCCCACTGCCAGCTTCACCATTTCCCTGTCTGAATAAACTGCCAAAACGGCTGTCTCTCCTGACGAAGATGCTTCTACTGCTGCTCGGCCTCCATGGCTGGCTGGCTACTGAGGTGAACTATTGGCCCCCAAACCATTCTCTTATCTTCCTGCTGTGGGCCTAACTTTCAGTGGCTGTTGCTAGGCAACCAACTTTGGCTCTGTCAGTAAAAAGGCAAAGACAGGAGGTGCTTTCTAGGCCTTTTTGGGGAACTCATTGGGGTCTGTCCTGACTAGGGTTGCCAGCTCCAGGTTGGGAAATACCTGGAAATTCTGTGGCGGTGTCTATGGAAGCCAGAGTTTGGGGAGGGGAGAGGGTGCCATAGACTCCACTCTCCAAAGCAGTTATTTCCTCCTAGGGAACCATTGCTGCCAATCTCCAGGTGAGGGCTGGAGATCACTCAGAATTAAAACAGCTCTCCAGATGACAGAGATCAGCTCCCCTGCTTTCCCCAAAACAGCTGCTTTGCAGGGTGGCCTCTGTGTCATTATACCCTGCTGAGTTTGAGGTGGGGTGGGACCTCAGACAGGTACAATGCCATAGACTCCACCCTCCAAACTAGACATTTCCTCCTGAGGAACCATAGTTGCCAGTCTCCAGGTGAGGGATGAAGATCACTCAGAATTGCAACTGCTCTTCATATGGCAGAAATAAGTTCCCCTGGAGAAAATAGTAGACTCTGTGTCATTATACTCTGCTGAGGCAAATTGACACTGAGTGCTCAAGGCCAGAGCACACGCCCAGAGCGTCTTTCTAGAGCTCGTTGTATTTATTTCCACAACGAGCCTTATTCCAAGTCTATCTATAACACTACAATAGACTGTGATTATGATTTTATTACATGATTTATGTTAGGACTCTTTTAGGCATGGTGCTCAAGTGCAGGAAGTTGGGCTACAAAGTCCCATTAGTAGTACATTTATGATCATATGGTTCAATAATAGCTAACTGAAAAATTGGTGGCACTGAATTGTCAAGCACAGGGTATGCAGTTTTAGCTGAAGGAGTGACAATGGGCCCACAGGATCAGTCTTGCTGGGATGTATAAGGTTACAGCTTCATTTATGCTGTCCTTTCCTGTGCAATTTTATGTCACAGAAGGGCCTTGCAAGCCTTTATATAACCCACACAGGTTATTTTTTATATTTCTTCATGGAATGTAGTATCTGATATAGAATTACATTTCCTAAGATTTTGTGTTTTCATTTTTGGAAAAAATACAATCAGCTGTGATCAAAGCTTTAAAGAAAGATCTGTGGCTTCAGACTTGGCTCTTGCCCGTGAAGTACATGACTCCTTTGGAAGACCTTGTTTGATGTGGACTCCACCATACATGAGTTGGAGCTTCTGGATGCAGCAAAGTTATCTGTCACTTCCTCATGGTGCCCAAAGGATGTTAACTTTCCAGAATCCAATGAAATTCGCTTTTCCAAATCCCTCTGCCAAATAATGCTAGTTGCTGGAAGCTGTGCAACAAAATTTTGAGGATCAGTTTAAGAATAAAGTGCAAATGATACATGCTTACTGAAAATAAGCACTTTAATGTGTTTCAGAGGGTGCTGGTAGGCAGACACTACCCTATAGACAAATGTGGCCCTAGTTAGGTGAATTGGAATTTGGAAACCATATGTAAACTGCTCAGAGACCTGTCAAGGATTAGAGCGGTATATAAAGTTGAATGTATAAATAAACTATTACTTGTGTGTTCCATTTCTTTGAATATGGGTAATATTGACAATGATTGCTTCTTTTTGGTTTTCTTTCAGCACTGAAACAATCAATAGGCAGTCCTGGGGATTATCTTTTGTCCTTTCTCTTTTGAAAAAACATACATACCCAATGCAACCTATGTTTAGGTAAGAGTTTTGCACTTGTTTGTTGCAGACACTGAAACCTGTGATTATGGCTGGCATAAGTTCCAAGGGCAGTGCTACAAATACTTTGCCCATCGTCGGACGTGGGATGCAGCAGAAAGAGAGTGCCGTCTCCAAGGAGCCCATCTGACAAGCATCCTGTCTCATGAAGAACAGATCTTTGTGAACCGTACGTGGCATTTCAATCCTAGCAATGCAAAGGGAATTACATGGCTGTAAAGAAAATACCCACCAGACCTCTAAATATTTTTTTAAATGTATTCCTTTCCGAAACATGTATTATCATTTATCCTTAAAAAGAGGACCTTTTGTCCTCGCCTAGGTCTTTGTTCCTTTCATTCCAGCTCCACATCTGTCTTACTCATTAGCTGGGGTGGGGAGAAATTGATGATCTTTGAAGAAAATAAGTTTTTACAATCTGAAAGAATTTTGTTCATGAGAAAAAGGCCTTAGAAGAAAACTAAGTGAGGCATTTTTTTCTGACCACTTTTACTTTAGGTTCGTGTTTAAACACTCATCTCCCAGCACTTTGAAAATACTGTTCCTGTCAAGCACAATACCATCAGTCACTTTACATTCTCTTGTAAGTCAGGCTGAAGCAGTTGTCATTTGCTACTGTCCACTGTTCCCTCTGAGCTGAATAAGTGTGAGCTAGTGCACAATTTTTTAGCCTATGGCTCACAGAGTTTTGTCTTAGCTGAGGAAGGATGGCTCCAGAGCAAACTAATTTATGCAGCAGTCAAATCATTCACTCACAACTTTAACGCCAGTAGCTCACGAAGTAGAATTTTTGCTCACAAGACTCCATAGTTTAGAGGGAGCATTGCTACTGTCACAGATATAAACCCAGAGTAAGATTACAGATTAATGTACGTAGCATTGGTTCCCAAGTACTGATATCCAGCCTCTTAGTATGTTCTTTCCAGAAAATGTGTCAAGCTTGGGTTGTCTTCTGGGAAGCCTCCAAGTTGCTGGTTTTCTGCTGGTTAGTTTGGTGCATTGATAGATATTCCTGAGAATTGCTTGATATTACCAAGAAGGACACGTCCTTGACAAAAACAGTACATTCCAGCACTGCCTCCCCAAAGTCAAGCAGAATATTAGAGATTAGATTTTAAAAAATAACATAAACATTTAATTATAATCTTTTGTTGCTTATACCTTATTAACATATTCTACTTTTCCGGCAAACATTTAAATAAAAATAACCTAGGTACTTTTCCAGCAAACATGTAAATAAAAATAACATGGGGGAGATTGTTTTTAAACCAGTGATTCTTTCACATATACGGCATGATCCAGACATCCAGGACTCCAGTGTACACCAAGAAAATTGTACTGTTCTGGGTAACTCAGAGTGTTATCTGTATCAGTGAACATTCACAGTGGGGAATCCCTATTATGTGTATATAGCATTCTCCAACTCACAATGGAGAAGAGCTTACATGCCTCACATGTCAACATTTTAATTGTAGCAAACTGCTAAAGCAGAGCCTGTAAAATAAACACCATTGCTTGTTATTTTGTAGAATGCAGCTATCTGATAACAGAAAAATACCAGTGAAGACAAATATAGTTCAGCTGCAAAAATGGGAGAGGAGGGTTCTGCAAATATTCATTTGTCTTCTGAGTGAGATTTTAAACACAAAACAAAATCAGGAAGCATGACTCAGTGTGCAAAAATGTTTTATTTTGAGACAATTCCCTTTTATGGGGAAGTTAGTAAAAATATCTCCCTGGTTTTCTCCTCACACACACAGGTATTGGCCATGATTACCAGTGGATTGGCTTAAATGATAAGATGTATGAGAATGACTTCCGCTGGACTGATGGCAGTGTGTTGGTAAGAGACCTATACAATTTTTCTGGATTTTGTTTTGTTTTGTTTTGTTGTTTGTGGCATTGCTTTTGAGGAAGTAAAATAGGCTAGGCTGCAGGAACAATAGAGAAATGTGGTTCCTAAGAAGCCATCCATCCATCCATCCAGCTCTTGTGTGTGCCTCCTTTTCCTACTCACTGTAACACATGGTAGTTGTGGATTTGAGTCTCGTGACATATCACACTGCAGGCATTGCCTTGTTGCTGGTTTGAAACTTTAGTTCCAAATGAGCTCTTTCTCCTCCATCCCTGGAAATTTCAGCCCTAAGCCTACCTTTTCCTGGAAGCCTTTGGCTTAATCCCTTAGCTACAATAGAGGAAACTCAGGTACAGGTAATTGCATATATATCAGATAAAAATGTTACATGAACGTTTTTAACAGACTGACAGCCATTGGTTATTTATATATGGTGCAGTTCCAGAAAGAAGTCACTGACCATCAGCTAGATTCAAGTCCATTAGTACCTTCGAGACCAACAAGATTTTGGGGGTATGAGCTTTCATCAAAGCTCCCTTTGTCAGATATCTGATGAAGGGAGCATTGACTTTCAAAAGCTTATACCCCCCCCCAAAATCATGTTGGTCTCTATAGCAGACCAACATGGCTACCCTTTGAAACAAAAGTCACTGATGAATCTGTCGGTCGTGTTTGAAGGGTCTATTTCTTTCAGATTTGTTGCTTGCTTCTGGTGACAGTTTAGAAAATGCAAAGGCTTTTCCCATCTCTCATGTGTTCCATTGCTGAGATGTTTTATTGCTGTAGCAACTGTGCTTTGTTGTGCCGAGAGGCACCATTTCTCTTGAAAAATGGCAAGAGAGAGAACCTGTTCCTACCCAGGGAATCCTCCTGCTGCTCTCCTCACATTTCTGAAAGCATAGCACATTCTGGTTGCATTACAGGCTTGAATAACCTTATCCACCATTTACCCTGTTTCGTCTTCTTCTTCTTCTTCTTCTTCTCCCCTCCCCCAGTCTCAGAATCAAATGTATTCTAGAGTTCAGTTATTCAGTTCACAAGGCCAACCTGTCTTCAAACGAATCAAACAAATATTAATTGGATAAATTTCAGGTTTGGAAAGACAAAAACAACGTGCCCTCAGCTTTCAAACCCCAAGAAATTAAGTCCTAATTGAGGCTTTTGGGCAAACTCAAGTGTTACCTTTTAGCTTTGAGTTCAAATTTATGAAGAAAAGGCTTTAAAACAAACAAACAAACCACAGAATAAGGCCATCTGTCCAACAGGCCTTTTTTTTATTTCTCTAATCCTATTCCTCCTCCCCCTTTTAAAACCAATTCCCTCCATTTCTTTCTTTATAAATCATTTTGGTATTTTTTGAACTCCTTCATACTCATTGTTTCATGAAGTTATTCCTTAGTACTAGGGTTCCCAACCTCCAGGTGGTGGCTGGAGATCTCCTTCTATTACAACTGATCTCCAGGTGACAGAGATTTGCTCAAACTGGAAAAAAAGGCCACTTTGGAAGGTGGACTCTATGGCATTGTTCCCCATTGAAGTCCCTCCCTTCCCCAAACCCCACCCTCTTCAGCCTCCACCCCCAAAATCTCCAGGTATTTCCCAACCCAGAGCTGGTAACCCTAATCAGTACTCATTATCTGTAGTAGTTCCATCTTATCTTCTACTTTCCTCTCATACCCAAATGTCTGATTATTTCCCCCATTTTCAACCTCTCTAGTAAACTAGGTAGCATCTAGATTATCCATGGAAACACAATGGTTTGTACTAGGTTCTTCTGAAATACCAAATCAATTGCTGAATTGCTATCAAACTATTCATGCCAGCAAAGTCTTTCCAGTTTTAAAACGTATTTCCCCCCAATTTATATGTACAATGTTAAACTTCCTTTCTTCTTACCTAGAAGGGAAAAAAGAATCCATGATCCCCAACTACCACAAACTTCAAAGAGTAGGGAGATGGTGTGGTTTAGTGGTACAGCATCTGTGTTGTGCGCAGAAGATCCCAGGTTCAATGCCCCCATCTCTAGTTAAAGTATCCCTACTGATGTTGTATATTCATCTTTTATAATTGAGCTTAAGACCTTTGGTCATAGAAGCTAATAAATATAAGCGGGGCTTTTTTGTAGAAAAAGCCCAGCAGGAACTCATTACCATATTAGGCCACACCCGTGACAGCACCACTCATTGGCATATTAGGCCACACCCCTGTGTTACCAGAAGTGTGGTCATCCAGTAGGGTTGCCAAATCGGGCCGGGGGGCGGGGAACCCCCCGCTTCCGCGGCCCGATTTCCGGCGCAGGGGAATTTCGGCCCGGGGGGAACCCCGCCCCCCAGAGGTGACGCAGCACGTTGCTGACGTTGGGGGCGTGGCTGAGCTCGTCGGAGGGGAAAACCCCAATGTCAGCACGTCGCCCGTCACTTCCAACGACGTGCTCCCGGACCACGGCGACGCTCCCCCGCTGCGGGGGGAAGAAGATTTGGCCACCCTATCATCCAGCCACACCCACCTTGTGCTTCTTATTCTGTTTACCTTATTTGTTGTCAAAACCCAGGGCTTTTTTTGGAGCAGGAACTCCTTTGCATGTTAGGCCACACACCCCTAATGTAGCCAATCCTAATGAGTTCCTGCTGTTGGGTGTGGCTATTATGCTAATGAGTTCCTGCTGTTGGGTGTGGCTATTATGCTAATGAGTTCCTGCTGTTGGGTGTGGCTATTATGCTAATGAGTTCCTGCTGTTGGGTGTGGCTATTATGCTAATGAGTTCCTGCTGTTGGGTGTGGCTATTATGCTAATGAGTTCCTGCTGGGTGTGGCCAACTCAGGAGCCAGCCGAAACTCCGTTCCTGTGCGTTCCTGCCCAAAAATAGCCCTGAATATAAGTAAGTATCCCTACTGAGACTCTAAAGAGCTACTGCCAGTCAGACTAGACAATAATGCCCTTGATTGACGGATGGTCTAATTCTGTATAAGGCAGTTTCATGTAGTCATGTAATGTTGAGTTTAGTGACCCTATTATGGTGAAAGAAAGAAAAAAGGAATAAAAGGAAATACATGTGGAAGGTTGTTTAACTGGGTTGTTTAAAATGTAGCAGAAGCATCCTCCTCATAGTTATGCCATGTGGAAATTTTTATTGAGCACAGAGAACCGTAATTTTTCTGCAGCTTCTGATGCATCTTTTCCCTGTTATGATTAATGCAAGTGTATATTGCTTTAAGTAAATCCAGAATAACGGTATGTATCTGAAAGGAGTTAACAAAGATGATCTGGTCAACTCTATGCATTTTGGCAGAATTTGTTGCACTGAGCAGTAGTTCATGTCATGTACATCTCTAAAAATCTTCAAGAGTTCCTGAGATTCTTGTTCTGCTGCTACAATATTGTGGAGTTTTGGCTGAGCTAGATACCTGCTGCTAGTTACTCTACTTTCACTGAAGACACAGAGCACACATTGTGTATCAAACAGTATCATCTGTTCTATTATCACAGCTACCCTGCTAATAATTAATAAAAGCTTCATATATCTTGCATATTATTGCAACACTTCGTCATATCTTGCATTCTAAGTTATTGACTCACTCCTCTGTTTAATGTACCACTCTTCTTTGTGGTATTCAAATTGGGAAATGTTATTTCCTCCCTAGCAGCCAATCTCAACATTTATTACATGCCAGAAGACCAGTGTCCTTATCGTGATTAAATTGTTTATTGAGTGTAGTTCAGTTTGCTTGTGAACTAATTTGCATTCCCAGGCATGGTCTAAAAACAACCTTGTACTAAACAGATGAAAGATGGTCAGTAACTGGATGGATGTGTGTGTGTTAGTTTTCTGAAGGAAAAATAAATGTAAGCAATGGGTTAAGAAGCAGAATACCATTTATTGTCAGGTGCTGTGGAGCAATCAGCTGATAAGGGATGTTGTCTGAGGGCCCTGCTTGCAGGCTTCCCCGAGGCATCTGACTGGCCACAGCGGAGATACAGGATGCTAGGAGGGATGGACCTTTTGTCTGATCCAGTATGCTCTTACGTTCTATGTTAGTAAGTAAGCAAGTCAACAAATATTTAAATATATAATAAATATTAGAACAATGTTTAGCACAAGTTAGTTTGTACAGACATCACAGCAGCATCCTCACTGGTCTTCATACATTGTCTTTTTTCTTCATATAAACAGAACAAATTAATCTAAATCTTAGAAATGGCCATGGCAAATAAAAGGTTTGGGCCCCAGTACACATTTTGTGTGAACTCAAGAAACCCCACACTTTCTTCTTTTGTCTGTCTGTTTGTTTGTTTATGTTATTTATTTCTCACATGGACTCAAGACAGATTACGCAAAGTGAGTCAGTACAATCAACAAGATGGGATATTCGATAATTATTGCATTAGAATGTTAGAAGACTAGAAACCACCAGAAAGAGCAGGAGCATGGCATAAGTATTACTATGACATTTTAAGTGGTACAGAAATTATATAATCGGATCCTGTTTACAATATGCTAAGTCCTGCAGGGCACAGATGTCATTTGGCAGAGAGTTCCACCAGGCTGATGCCAGGGTTGAGAAAGGCCTGACTCTGGTTGAGCTAGGTATCACCAGCAGGTTCTTTCCCCCTGAGCATAATGCTCTTCAGGTGGTATACCAGGAGAGGCAGTCCCATAGATACATGATTGGGTCCAGACTGTTTAGGGGCTTGAAGGTTAGTTCCAGAACCTTGAACCTGATCTAGGGTTGCCAAGTCGTACCTCATCCTGAAGCGGGGGACTCCCGGGTTGATCCTTGAGCGCGCGCTACTTTATTTAGTTATTTGTTTGTTTGTTTGTTTATTTAATAAGCCACCCTCCCTTGAAGGGCTCAGAGCAGTGTACAGCATTGAGTAAACATACAATAATTAAAAGACATAAATAACAGTTAATTACTTACCCAATGAAAGCCTTTTTTTTGGCAGCAGACATTCAGAACTATAAAATGGCATTTGGATGCCAATCTCCG